GTTACTTCCTTAATGGCCTCATGATTCATCCTGCAGCTCCCAAGACAGCAGTGCCACAGGAACCCCACCCCAGAGATGGTCTAGCGCCCCCTGTTCCTCAGATGTGGCCTGGCACCCAGCTGATGGCTGCCGGTAAGTGGAGACAGGCAGAGGGGTGGAACGACAGAGCTCTGTGATTGGTGGAGACAGGCAGAGCTCTGTGATTGGTGGAGACAGGCAGAGCTCTGTGATTGGTGGAGACAGGCAGAGAGGATTGGAGGACTGCTGTTGCTGTGATGATCGCCACTGGCGTGACCAGCATGCTGCTGTCTTACAGAAACCGATGGAAACCTCCTGTATGCCATGGTGGACATTAAGAAGAAGTCAAAAGGTGAGCCGTGAGGCTAAATGACAGAATAATTAATTCAGAGGGAGGAGCCAGGGCGTGGAAAGACACCCAGTCGGACCTGAGTCGGACCTGAGTCGCACCTGAGTCAGTCAGACCTGAGTCAGAGTCACACCTGAGCCACAGCTCTCCAGAACTCCAGAACTCTTCTGTGGATCAGCACTGCCAGGGGTCCAGCTGGGGATCACACAGCTAGGGACTCCCTGCACAATCACAGCCTGACCTCCAGACTGGACTGGACTGGGTGTGAGACTGGACTGGGTGTGAGACAGGACTGGGTGTGAGGTGGACTGGACGGGGTGTGAGACTGGACTGGACTGGGTGTTGGAGTAGAAATGTTGTGTTGAGGATCAGTCTCATCTGAGTGGAGTTGACAGAAACTGACTTGTTTCCTCCCTCTGTCTTTCAGTGAAGAGAGGCACAGACAACACTCAGAACGTAAGTCTTCCTCTGTCATTGTGTCTGTCCGCCCCTGTCCCCTGTCTGTGTGATTTACCAGCTCTCTTTGCTGGATTCTGTGTGTCCTCCGTGCGGACCTCTGTCCTGCCCTGCGTGTCCTCCGTGTGGACCTCTGTCCTCTGACCTCTCTCTCTCTCAGGCTCACGGCCCAGAAGACGCCCTGGAGTACTCAGTGATCTACTCCAAGCTGGCTCCGCCCACCTCCGAGCCTGGCTCCTCCCCTCCCAGTAGCCCCAGCCCGCTGTATGGCAACCTGGAGAGCGTGTACGAGAACGTCGCCTAGCGACGGCCAGAGGATCATGGGACAGTGAGCCCCAGGCTCCGCCCACTCGACCCCGCTGACCCCTCCAGGTCACAACGCACAGGAGAGCACGGGGCTCAGCCCTCACCCCCAGACCTGCCTGCAGCCCCCCAGGAGGGCTGCCAGCCGGGGGTGGCCAGACAGAGACTGGGGTGGACTGGGACTGGGACTGGGACAGGGACTGGGACTGGGACTGGAGTGGAAGTGGGAGTGGGAGTGGGAATGGAACTGGGAGTGGGACCGGGAGTGGGACTGGGACTGGGACCGGGAGTGGGACTGGACTGGGACTGGACTGCGGGTGGGACTGGACTGGAACTGGACTGGGAGTGGGACTGGGAATGGGACAGGGGGCACTTGCGAACCACAGTGGTAAAAGGCTGTTCCTCTGGCCAACAGGGACACGGGTTTGGAGTTCTGCTCGGCAGCTACAGATCGGACCAGCAGGCCCGCCCTGCACCTGCCTCAGCGCTGGGGCAGCTGTGTCTCCCGGGGCAGGAGGGCACGAGGGCTGGTGGGGTCTGTATGGAGTACAGTGAGCTCACAAGTGCACTCCAGACCACTGAAACACACAGGATCGATCCTCAGGAGTGCAGCTCCCGCTGACTGGGTGACTGTTGAGTCAGACAGCCAGTCCCCATTGGAATCGTGACTGTTATACCGCCACCCCACCACCGGGGGGCGCTAAACAGATACTCCGATTGTATTCCCATCCATTATTGAGGTGTGAGGGGCCTTTCCTCCTTATCTTTTCCCTTACGGCCTACAAGAACCTGGGGGACACGTGCGCCTGAAACTGGCTCCGTTCTTGTTCGTTTTCCACCACAGAATTCTCTTTCTCTTCCTCGGGGACGCTAGAGAGCGCAGCTGAGGAACTGAGAGGCGAGCGGAGCAGAAAAGCCCCCTTTTAAATGTCAGCAGTGCGAGAGCAGCTGCAGAGTGAAATACTGAGTCAGAAGACTGTTTCTCTTTCCTTCCAGAGAAGCAGAACTAGACGAGAAACTCGCTCAGCTCTGCACGTCTGACAGAGCAGCAGCTCCTCAGGCCTGATGAGGCACCTGACAAGAGCTCAGCGCAGAGGGGAGCTCCTGTCTGCCGTCTCTCACTCGGACCCAGGGCAGCGACAGGTGCTACTCTAGCCTTGTGCTTTTCAGTACATGTCCGATCCCTGTTTCCACTCGGGCGGCTCTGCAGCTCCTCAGACATGCCTGTACAGCCCCTTGAGTTTGAATAAAGAATCCACTGTCCCTCAAAGTGTCCTTTTATTACTTAAATGCGCAGATAGGGGCAGATAGACACGAGTGTGTTCCTGTCGATTGCTGAAGCACAGCCCCCTGCACACCGCAGCCTGAAAGATGTGAAGCAATCTGAGTGTCTACTCCACACTGGAAAGGAAACGAGAAACTGGTTCTGGCTGTGGAGTGGTGTCTGTGTGTCGGGAGGCCATCAGGTTACAGAGAATCAGGACACCTTGAGGCAGAACAGGAGTCTGAAGAGGTTGAGACTGAAAGCAATCACTTCTACGCCTGTGCTCAACTGCCTGATTACTGTGGCATTGTAATAAATTGGAGACAATAAAACTAAGAATATTTAACACCACTGACAGTTTTTCTTTACTCTTTTATATTTCTCAAAGCCACAGTACTAGTCAGCTGTGCGGAAATAAAGTAAAATTGCACCTCTTGAGGTGGTTAGAGCAGAGCGATCAGGGACCTGCTGCAGACAGACCAGCAGACAGATCCGTCTTGTGAGGAAGGCAAAGACACACAAGGTGTCGTCAAACTGATCTGACTGACTGTTCTCACACGGGAGCTGTATCTGTACAGCTGGAATGAGATGTAGGGAGTTTGACAGCTGTACAGATGGGTTTAGACACAAAAATCAATACAGGATAACTTACAAAAGGATCAATACAGCCTTCAGCACATTGTAGAAAGAGGGTGAGTGTAAGAGGGGACACAGACCTTCAGATTTTATCCCTGATCACGGCTTTAAAGAGGAACTGCTAAACTATTTTTATATTTCAGGTTAGACAGAATTTGCAGTGATGGGTGCATTTCAAACATCAGCGAAATTCAAATTTACACAGTAATGTTTAAAACCTCCAATTTACAAAGAAAAATAGATTACATTTCCAGGAATGCCCCACACCAGAGTCAGCAATTCTGAACGAGGAAATAAAACTTCCAGTGACGGGAATCCGGCTCCATTAATCCAGCAGAAATACAGGATTGCTTTCAATTTAGTAGACCAACACTACTTGTTAACTTCGCATGCCGATCGTTGGAACATTTCTGCTGCACAACCGGAACTTATTCACTCAAACACCAGCACAATGACTAGTGAGCAGGAAGGGCTACTTCACGTCACAATTCCTATGCGAGTTTGCAACAACATTGTGATTTACAGTACTTTCACAAAGTTCATGGTTTTATGCTTACTTTAAAATTTATACATTTTTCAATAACGCCAATGAATGTGTTTTGTTGCCAAGATTTAACAACCGCTCATAGCTGAAAAGTGACAGATCTCTGATCCAGACAGATCAATAGACACACGTGTGACAGGCAGGGACAGATTTCTCCAGGACTGTGTGAAAT